GAAGTAAACTGTCTTTACTTAGAATTTAGGGAACACCAGTGAATTTATGAATGTCAATAGATGTTAGTAAGAATGTCACTTTCTCTATGTCATTTGAAAGGGAACACTGATCAGGAATGAGATGGAATTCTTATATTATGAGTTTGAGGCTTTGCATCATATTGAAAAGGGAATATTTAGAACATGGTTATTGGAACCTGTAGACTGTTTTCTAATATCTAGATTATTAGTCTCTAATGTTGAGGAATTATAATTAAATGATAACCAATAAATTCAAGATGCCAACTCATTGGTAACCAAACTCTGCATCAATACTAAATAAGTTTTGGGGAGTTTCTTTTAAAATGTATCTAAATCATTTTTTGAAATCACCAAAGACTGTAGTCACCTTATGACTGTTTATTGAATAAAAGCCATACAGTTCAAAATAACTACAGAATTCTCATCATCCATGCTCTTTTCTTCCTGGCATTTATGGAAAGAGAGAAAATCTTCTTCGTTGACCTTCTCCTTCCTTTTAGTTGACCCAACCTTTCCTTTAAGTATGAATTTTCCCACTAGCAACAACCAATTTAGTATCTATTGGATAGAGTTTACACCTGGTTGGAAAGTTATAGAACTATGCTTTGGTACATGGATGGCATGTTTGTAACGGGATAATTTTGTTCTTCCCTCGATTTATTACATCCATAAAGAGAATGCTTCACTAAAACAATTACAGATAGTTTTTGCAGGACAAACAGTTTTATTTAATGTTCTTAATTTCACAGGTTTTAGGCCAAACAATTATTCTTGACTTCCTTCATGCATATAAATGTGGGTGTATATGCATACATATATATGTGCAAATGTGTATATATACATTATATATTATATATCTGTGTATATATCTATGCTAATGCAATACTGTTTATGGAAAACTGGTTTTCAGAAACTAATAGATTTTCTTTAGAGATAAAAACTCTTAGGACTGAAGCTACAAATTTACAGTCTATGGGCCAAATATACTCACTAAACCTGGTTTAATTTGCCTGGCCTATGATTCTTGTTATCACTTTGCCTTTAGAAATCAGGAGATTTCACATAGACACCCAGATTTCCAGCTTTTCCTGAAAAATCAGGAGACAATGTAAGAAATTGTGTGCAGCTCAAACGCTGGTGACACTGTGATTTTAAACTGCAAATGGCAACAATTTAAAGGCTTCCATCCCTTCATTTTGATGTTTCTCTTCCGTATCAAATGGTGTGAGGTGGAAGCACCGAAATGCTTACCCAGAATGCTCCCTGGCTTAATGGGGTATTACATGCCATCTTATTTCACTTGTAATTTTCCCTATTTTAGTTATATCAATTTTTCCTTCATACAGTTTTTCACATTTGGGCCTCATTTATTCCTCTCCTTATTACGACTTTTATCCTGGCCATGCTTTCCTCACTTCCGGGCCACTGAATACACTTCCGTTTTAGCCATCACCAGCCTCTTGCCTTACCTTTGCATCTGCCTCCTCCATCCCACTGCGCCCACTAGGTACAAATGTATATGTCCAAAGCATGCCTCGGCACTTTAGTCCCGGCCTGAGACCTGCAGTGATAACCCGCAACCTGTGTCCAGTGGCTTTACCTGTAATCACAAGTCAGTCTGTTTGTCCCTATCATTTTGTGTTAATTCATGAAGTAGCCAGCATGGCGTTTCCCCAGCACCAAAGCAGGCATCTTCCAGCCCCTGATGCCATTGACCCCAGCATTATCTCCTCCTCTCCATCTGTGCAAATGGATTGTGGCTGCATTCAGAACTGGCCTTCCTAGACCACCTCGGGCCACAAATGAGCAATACAGCTCGTCTTGCCTGGTACATGTTTCAAAATCACGTTCTGTTTCTCTAATTATCTTAAAACACAGTTTCTCCAAGCATGATCTCTAGACATTTGATTTCAGAATCACCTGACTTGTTCTTTTTATTCCTGGGATCCACCTATATCCTCCTGAATTCCCTAAGTAGGGACCCAAGAATCTGATAAATCTAAAATCTGAGAAGTCTAGAACTTAAAGGCAAAGTAACTAATGGTGATTACAAGATCCCCTGATGATTTGGTAGAAGGTAAAATAGGATTCAATTAAATTGGCACTGGGTGCATTTTTACATCAGCCAATATGTTCCTCAAACACTGTTTACCCTAATTATTGAGCATAGCTCTGGGGATGGCTTTAACCAGCTCTCGGGCACCATTGCTGAGGCCATTAGGTCCGTGATCCCTCTGTGGGCAAGCGGCAGGTATGTAGGAACCTCTCCACTTATCAGGCAAAAGCAGGACAATTAGACAGCAAACTTCTTGAGCGCAGGACAGTATTTCACTCTTTTAATTGTTCTCTGCCACCTTCATGCATTGCCGCCAGTAATGCCATGATTAATAAATGTTGAATCACATTGGATAGATTGGATGGATGTTTGCAGATGAGAAACCAGTAAGAGCATCAGTTCTCAGGCTGGCGAGGAGGGTGACAGCCCCGTGGCGGTGCTCCCTCTGAGGTCAAGGGCTGCACTTGAGGTAGATTATCCCAGTGAATGTTTGCTTCGACCTTCCTAAGGCATTGCCGGGATTCCCTACATTTTAACAACAGGGAGCATTCCGCTGGAGTTGGAGAAGCAAGAGACACCGTGATCTGAGAAGCAACCATTTTTGCCATTCATGTGAAAAAAATGTGTGACCAGCTTTAAAAAGTCATTTCATTATTTTTTTAAGGGGAGGGTTAATATATTTAAAATACTGTTTGATAATCATTGGAGATATCACTGTGATAAAATGGTACAAAGCAAAGAACAGAATTTGGAATCAGAAGACCTGGGTTCCAGATTCAGTTAACAGCTGTGCAAGTTTGAACAAGATCCAAAGTGTCTCTGAACCTGGGTCCTTTGATCTGTAAAATGGGGCAACACTACTGCATACCGAGTTGTTTCAGGGATCCAATGAAGAAATGTATATAAAATACTATAAAAAATATGTATGTTATTATTACTACAGGTTGTTCAAAGTGTGAACCAGGATCTCAAGAAAATATAGCTGTATTATCTTGGGTTGTGTTTTAAAGAGGAGAAAAAAGAAAACACAGAAATAATGAAATATCATCCCCACAACATCGCAGAAGCAGGCTTTGTAGCCCTGGCTGAGGAATATGAGGTTGGGAAGGTTAAGTAATATGCTACAGGCATACAGCTAGTAAACAGCTGAGCTGAGATTTAAAAACCACACCCGCCTGACTTCAAATGCTCTGCTCTTTCCACTGTACCAGTTTGCCTTTTCGAAACAGAAGCCAGCACGTATACTTTCTCTTAATGTTAAGAGAAGACATGTATGTTCGAAAACTAACTCATCATGATAATCCCCAGTTAAGATGTTATCATCTAGCATCTGACTCAATTTCCTTTTATGAAACACAGTAAACGTAATTTAAGTGTAGTTTAAATGAAGTATCCAAATGGGATAAACAGGTCCCCTGGGAAGTTAGATTTTGCAGATTACAAGAATTCAGTGCCTAAATTGTACTTAGTAGGCACACTATTTTAAAAAGAAAATTCTTAAGGAGATTGACTAGTCTATCAATTTCATCATTATTTCTATGTTAGAGATCTATAGCATAGAACAATTAAAACAGAAAGAAACAATATAAACTTCACCCAAGTAGTAGTAAAGAACGCCTCTGTCCCCGTGGATGTGGGACTCCCAAAAAAAAAAACAGTCATCTTAGACCTGGGTTCAGTTTTCTGCTTCCACATTTTTTTTCATAACATTCCATTTAAAAAATATGTACAAAAGAGAAGCAAGGGAATTTTCTCACTCTGTGGCATTTTAAAGGAAATGGTTCTGAAGATGTTTCGTGTCTGTACCAGCTCTTATCCTGAAACAGAGTTTCTAGTAAAGATGAGCTCAAGCTATTAATTTTGATTATGGGCCGTCAGGCAGAAGGAACTATCTTTTTTTTTTTTTAGAGTAAACATTTCTTAAGTGAGCGTTGCAGGGCCAGGCGGGATTCAGGACAAGAGCGGATGTGAGACCATGTAGGAAAGTGGAGATGTAGATTTAAATTCTGTAGGAAAACTTTAGAGCACAGATTGCAGTTACTCGGAGCCTTGAGAAGTCACGTCCACATCTTTCCTCCAAAACACCGTGTAAAGTGGTCTTTAGATTCATGTGCTGTGGAGTCAAGCAGTCTGGCATCAAACCTCAACTCTGTCACTTTCTAATTTTGTGATTTTAGGCAATTTCCTTAAACTCTTTGAGTCTCTATTTTCTCACCCCAAAATTAGGAATAATTACTGTTTCATAAACTTGTGATGACTCAGCATAAACACCAATAGGTTGTCAATGAAGTTGATGTTCTGATTATGGTTTTGGTCCTGTAGACCTTTCTTTGACATGCATATTAATAAAGTCTCCCATTACCTCCACTTCGAAGTTGATAACATATTATCTTCCTTTAAGAGACATTAAAGGTGTTCATCAAATGAAAAGTCCAAACCTTCTAGTACATAATCAAGAGTTTAAACATATTTTCAAAAGTGTGTGAATTTGGTTTCTTCATCAGGGAACAAACCTATTGATTAATGTGTGTATTTCAAGTAACCATCTTACTCGCGATGTGCCCGTGGCCGACAGCCTTCTCCCCTGGGAAGGTGGCTTCTCTAATTGCAGTGAATGATGACTCTATTTGCAGACATTACTTCCTACACTATGCATTCCATTCTGTGATTATTATTTAAAATGTGTATTCTCTTACCAACAATATAATCTGTGTTTACTGCAACAGAGGGAATGCAAAAAGCATTTCAATTCTAAAGACGCTCAAAACACTACTTAAACCAAAAAAGAAAAGAAAAAGTCAGGGATGCTAATGTTATTTGGACTGCTGGGGGCATTTCTTCCTCCTTCTCACACCCAATCTCTTGCTTATAAACAAAAGCACAATTTTCACACTGATAGAAAATTGACGGCAAGTGGACTTACCTTCCTTTAACCAAGAGATATTATTTTTATCATTTTCAAAATGCTCGGCTGTTCTTGCTTTTGTCTTTTCCAGCTCAGTTTCTGACATCTAAGTGGAAACAGAATTTGTGATATAAAAAATTCATTAACACAAATTTATAATATTGAGCTTTATATTTAGATACTGCAGTCATATTATAGGTACACTTTATGTCTAGCTTTTCAGTTCACTAATGGTAAATTTTACATTTTATCCATTTGTAGTAGTTTAAAACATTGGCACTGAAAACTAAACTTTACGTACTTCGTTTCTCAGCAGTTAAGATTGCTATCAGATCTTCCCATTTGTAAATATGAAAGAGTAGCAGCTTAACAACCAGCCACAGATTTGTAAAAACAACATTGTTGCTGTTTTTATTGGTTTTTTTAAATTCTATAGAAAAGCATGCTGCAAAGTGATATAAAAGATATAAATAATAATAAAACATTGAAAGGGCCTTTCCAGGAATTTACTGGGCCCAAGGAGAGCCTTATGACCTAAGCCAGGGCAAGCTGAGTTCCCTGAAGGTGCTGAGACCTCTCGCACACCTTGGGTCATTGCTCTTGACTCTTGGGGTTTGCATGCAATGAGCTACGGTGCTCCACTTGAACCAGCACCTCTGTATTCTTACCTGTGTGTTCTGAAAAGAGGAGGCCCGAGGAACGGGAGGCAAGCAGGGCAGCAAGGCTCTAGGCAGTCTTCTTGTTGTCTCCTGAAGTCCAGCATTCCTCCACCCTGGCAGGAGTGAGCGAAGAAGCAAATACACTCCCTCCCTGGGTGGTGCTAGATTTGTATTGCTGCCAGAAGCATCCAACTTGCGGCTGAGAGGTTGGTTTTTTTTTTTTAAGGTAATATAAAGCCTGTGGTCCAAAACAATAAAAACCTTCTCCAGGCTAGCATTTATTTTAAATGACACTCTGCAAAATAGGGTAAAAATAATGAACTCTGTTCAGATTGACAGTGTCTTCCATCCCCTTCCTTGCACACCTGCCATTCGTCACTTAGGGTTAATAGTAAAGGATGGAGAAAACATATATTGAGAAATATATACTGGTTAAAAGAAAAGAAGGAAATCTCTAAAGCTTTGTTTTCTAGAAGTTCATCCTGCAGCTGATCTTTTGAAAAGTAAGTTTTTCTAACATGTTATAGGCAGCAAGAAAGCAGTTCAAGTTCTTTTGAGAGTCTGCAGATTTGGAATAACATTCCAAAGAGGATTTGCCATTAGATTCTTAGTCAAAACAGTACTGCTTTCAGTAGAAGATCAGTAACAAAGAGCATAACCCTTAGCGATGCATGATGATAAATAGTCCAACGTTCCTAAATGTTGTCACATTGTTTTCATCGTGGAACATCTTTACTTTTTGGTCCAGAGCAGTTTGTCTCCTACATTGTCTTTGCCTGGATGACCGTCTGTTTCCTGACCACTTGTGTCCATTTGGCCTCCTTTCCCCACTTCATTTCTTGCTGTATTTTGCTCCCCATTTCATCATCCTTAAGAAAATATCTTGTTCAGCCAGTTTTCATACTAAGATAACTTTCAATTCCTTCCATGATCAATCAGATAAATGTCAGACTCCTTCGACAGATGAGGAAAACTTGAATGGTCAGATTCTATAGCATGATTTTCATACTGTGGCTTCAAGTGTTAAGATTTCTCCATGCTGCCTAACCTTGACTCGAGCCTAACTGTAATGCTGCCATTCCTTGAACTTGCCTGCTTCTAACTTTAACATTCCAGAAATGTTTCTTCAAAAATCCCATCTCCACCCTGACCTTGAAGCCTTCCTGATGTCTCTCATCTGGAAATGATCATTCCCTTCTGTGCACCGAACCCACTTCTGGATCCCCAGCATAACCATCCCCATTTTGGTCTTATGTAAACCTGACTTACCCTCCTGACAAGACAATAAGCCCCCTGGGGGCTCAGCCTCTGTCTCGGTCTTCTGTGCATCTTTCTCAGTGTGCGACACCATCCCCTAAAGATTAATAATGGTTGGATTAAAACTAGCATATCAAAAACCAATGGTGTTTTTCTTTGTTTCCAAAGTCATAGGATACATCTGACTACAAAGATCCTCTAGGGTGTCTGTGTCCTATAGTTATAGTATTTTATGCCCCTTCCACATACATTTGGAGACCTAATCTAATTTCCTTAATAGTTTAAGCATTGTCCTTTGGAACAGCAAATTATGTAAATATGATGCGTTAGTGGGACTAGAAAACATTTGGGAAATAACGATCCCAGTGATCTTAAAACACTGAACAGAGACAATTTAGGAGCTAAAAGAAATCTAAGGTGCAAATACCTAGATAAGAAGGGACAACCTAGTATCCAGGAGAGAATGAATGAGACAGGGACACAGTGGAACATACTTTTCCTCCTAGTCTAGTCTATTTTCAGGTACATATTAATATTAGACCACATGGTTATTAAGTGAATTCCTCAGCATAAACTCTTTTCTTATAATTCATAATGGCTTTTGGATTTCTGTAATGTTATAAGTCACAAAACCTATTCCTCATGCAGTTTCTGGAGCAGATAAACCATTCTTCTTTGTGAGTCTGTACTACTTCTGGGTTCATGATGAAGCTTTTACTCAGATTCTGTGATCTTTTATTATTATATTTTATTTATGTCCAACTAAACTATTTGCCAACTATCTACCCCAAGAGGAACCCATTTCTGTCCATATTTCTTACTTTTACGCTATAGATCACTCTTGATTATGGCTGATTCTTTGATTATTCTTGATTTATACATATTTTTCACTTGTTTAACTTTGCAATTACTATGATACAATTATTTGAGGCCCAGCATTACATAAATTGGAAACGTTAAAACCCTCTTGCATTTTGTTCAGAATTGTTCTGTGGAGGAAATTTTTATGTAGATAAGATTTATTTCTAATTTGGAACTATTATCCAGTTTTTTCTGAGGTATCTTCAATACGTCCTAACACTTGGAATTTTTCTGTTTTCTTTTCTTATCACTTTTCTCTGCTTAGCCTCTCAATGCCCTCTGATTTTCCTTTGCCCTTTGAATTGGCTTTTGTCTGTAAAAGTGTGTGACATTATTTGAATTTTCTATATG